CAACTGAAATGTTTCTACTTGCCTGTTATTTAGTGTAAGAGTAACAGAAATCTAGATCCTTGGGATAATGCAGTGCTTATTTCTCATTCCATGGGAAAATTTTACGTTATAAAAACAGGTAATGAATAAGGAAGGATTACAGGTATTGTTTTTTTAAAGAAACTATCCTGTGCTGTTCCTCTGGAAGGCACTGATTTCCATTCAAGCAGAGTTAGGGCTGAGCTCTTTTAACCCCTTCCTCTCCCTTACTAGTTTCTCGCTTCCATTTCTGGACTTTTCTGGGAGCCTGATTAAAGCTATTCACCAGATTGCATTGCTTAGGGCACAGCATTTTATTACTGATGATGTTCCTTTTTGGTACTTTGGTATCCGAAATGCATCTACAACTTTCATGGCTTTCTGATACTCCCCTTCTGGACAAAGTAGCCTTTCAGCTGTTAAAAAGCTTCTGTGATAATGTGTTGAGCATCCTGGAGATGTCCCATGCTTTTCTTTGACTTACCATAAAGAGCAGCCTCTAGACAGTATAACAGATGTATTAACTCTTAATGTTTGAAAGGAATCATCCGATTTATGAACTCAGCTGAATCAGTTTTTGTTGTTATCCACATTTCTCACAGGATAGCTTCAAAACTTACATTTTGAACAAGCTGACTACAACTGGTTATAACCTTGTGCGGTTTTTTGTTTCCTGTTTTCATTTTTGTCTAAATCCTTCATAAGGAGTATTAGGATTCATATGTTTATCTTACTTTAGAGAATTAAAATGCTGATACCATTTGGCACAGGGCATATATCTAAAGACAAACAAAAAAAGTATTCTGAGGTAAAATGGCTTGTGAAAGGGGTCATAGTTGTAAAATTACTCAAAAGTAATTTTAGAAGTACTTATTTTAAAGTAAAAGTACTCAGAGTAAGCCCCTTTTGCTTAGCTGCATATATAAACTGTATATATGTATGTCTGAGTGATGCACAAACACTATAGATATACTGGTAAAAAAAGACCAGTTTGACACATTACAGAGTCACTGACCTGAGCTTTTACCAGCAGCTGCAGTTTTACAAGGAGGCTCTCATGTCCCCCAGGAGGCAAAGGACAGCAAAGGAATGCTTTCCTCTCTCCTTGTGCAAGTGGCACAGGCAGCTCATGATTGCCTGGCTTCCTCATTGAGAGGCATTAATCTTTTCAGTATTCCTCTTGCAGCACGAGAGATGCACTGGGAGTATTCTCTCTTGTGTTGAGAGAAGAAATTACCTCCCTACCATTTTTCAGGTGCATGAGCCAGATGCCTAGCATTTCAGCTGTATTGTTATAGGCATTGCTGTGCTTGCTGCCCATAGGTAAATACTGATAAGTGTCATGTAAGTGTGCTATAGAATGAATCACTGCTGTTTGTTAGAGTGACCAAGCACTCTGTTGAAGGTAACAGGGTGACGTTGGGTCATAGGTTTTCAGGCAAAATTCCTTAAAACATTTTAATGGACTTTCTTTCATTACATACCTACATTTTAGAATCTGAGAAAAGCAATCCTAGATGAAGTGTATGAGGTCACTCCAGAATTTTTTTTCTGCTTCCTTACCTGATGGGAGAATAATGGTTTTGTTTATCTTCTGCTGTCTTAGCAGCTGTTAATTCCCATTCTCCTTTTTTCTCTAGATTTTTACCTTCTGCAGGACAGATTGGAACAACAGACATAATCTTCTGTTACTTTATATCCGATGCAGACACTTACAGGTATGTGTGTAGTGTCACCTTACCAAAATGGCAATGTTTTAAAGAGATATAAATTAGAAGGTACAAGCAGTGCAAGCAATATAAAGAGCATAGCTAGGAGATAATCAAGTGCCAAGGAGAGAGAGAAACCAGGTTTAAGTCATATACCATCTGGACATGACTTTTTGTGAGTGCTTATGAGTTTAAAATAAATGTAGGTGTTGAGGCATCTGAAGGTTCAGTGACATATGCCATTTTTATATGATCAGCAGCTGAGTCCCAGATCAGAGATTTACTAGCTCTTAAAGGGAGATACTCCTTAAAAGACTGGAGCAGACAGATTAAGCTTCTTACTTTTCAGAAGCTGCTTTTATAAAAGAAGTTTTCTGTTATCTTCTTCCCCTCCAGCCTGTCTTTTGCATAAAGCTACACTAACTTTGGTGTTTGACTATGTGAGGACATGGAAAATGCTCTTGTGCAACGATATTGCCTGTGCTGGTAATACAGACCTCTTTGTTGGACAGAGTTGAGAAAAAGCTGGCCATAATCTGTTCAGGCTGCAAAAGATTGAATGCAAGGCTTTAAGTCATATAAAAGCAGGCTGCAAAAAGAAAAGGATGCTGAGGAGGGCTTGTAACAGCAATGTCCTACAGAGTAGAGAGTGAATCATTACACTGACTACATGATATCATTAAACCCCATCTATTTGGACCTGTTTATTACAGAAATTGTATTTTGTGTCTCATTCCTTTCACCACTATGCAACACCAGTCACTTAAAAATTCCTTACGGGTCTCATTTCAATACCACTTCTGAGTATCTGTTCCCCAGCCTTGTTTTTCCATGCTTTGGTGGGAGGATAGCATAATGCCACTTAGTATAAAACGTACCTGCACTGGTTAGAACATCACAAAGGTTTTGTTGTGCTGCCATAGAGCCGAGTCAAGACATAAGACAATGTTGAGGTGAGACACTGCTGTGAATTCTTTACTAAGGCAACTAAAAGATAGACAAAAATAATTTCTCACAGGTCAGCTCTTTAAGGATGCTACTGAGTTACAGGGAAAAATCGGATTCTGAGTTGTTTTTTCCTTTCCTTTTCTTTTTGCTTGGGAGCTGAACCAAGTTTGCTTAATGAGCTTTGGCATGAAAAATGCTCTCTATTTCTTCCGTTCTATTATTATCTGTAAAAATAGAGCTGAGAGAGCAAGGAAGAGTACCTGGCAAACAAATGGGTATATTCAGAGAGAAATGACCACTTTCCTCAAAATAAAGCAAATGTCAGGGCATAGTGGGGCTGGAATATGGAGTGGCAGGGGCTCCCCCGGGGCAGGCAGGGTCTCAAAGCCAGGGATCCCATCACCACAGCAGAGCAGGCTCCTGGGGTTTTCTTAACCATGTCATTAGTCGGTGAACTGATGCCCAGCACTTATAGCTGAGTGTTGCCTCTTGTCCTCCTTCTTTTTTAAAAAAACATTTTAATCTGTGAATATTTTTTCACATAATCTTTTCCCATACTATTTTGCAAGACAAGGAGACTGTACTCTTGGCAGTCTCTATTCCATTTACACTGTCATTATGTGAATGGCTGAAATAGAACTAGTATGGTGAGCCAACCTGGAGCTTCCTGGCTGTCACAATGATTTTGAAGTATTTTACCACTTATCTTGAAAATGTTACATGCCTCCGCTAAAACATCCATTTGCAGTCTGGGCAGTATTATGCTAGTATTCCAGTTTTATTGCTGATAAGAAAGACATTAGAAGGGTGCTGTGAGCTGTGTAACAGACTGTGGTGTATTCCACATTTTCTTTTTTTCGCATAGTTGGCCCACGAAATTCCTGCCTCTCCATCCTATCCTGTCCTACACATTCATTCCCATGTCTGTGCTGCAGTTGTTCTGTTGTGCTCAGGCACGTTTGTGAGGCTCTGCTGAAAACAAGATCTAGTCTGATTTGTATTAAAAAGAGGAGTTTTTCTGAAATCCACATAACTTAAGGATATATTGTAGATCTAGCAATGTGGCTCTACAGTATCTTCACTGACCTGAGAAAATACTTACTGGCTTAGTAAAAACTTAATCCAGTCCTGTATGTAATCTGCCTTGACAGATTTATTCTGTTCAAAAAAAAAAAAAAAAAGAACCAAGAACCTTAAAAGCAGCAAGCTGATAAGGCTGTTTTCCAAGAAGTAGCAGCCACATGTTCTGCAATTTACTAGTGACTAAACTCTCAAGCTGCAACAGCTAGGGAAGATGTATGCATGGTAAAAATAACTTTTAAAAATGAAAAATGAATGTCTTTGCATTTGTAACAACATTTTGAATTTCAAATACTACAAGTTTTGATTCACTTTTCAAAATACTGAACATTCACTGAATTACCACTTTTAGATTCTGAGCACAAGTCCTTTTATTTCATTTCCAAATGATGCCAAATTAAAATAGTCTCACATTTGCTCAAAACAGCATCAGAATTACAGCAGTGTGTCACTGTTTCTCAGCTGGAACTTCAGGTCAGTCTCCCTGTTGTGCCAGCCTACCCGAGCCTGGAAACGGTCCCACTGCCTGCAGGTACCTTGGCAGGAGCTGAGCAATATTTAGCACAAGGATAGCTGTTCAGGTAACCACTAGACCAAAGAAATATGGGAACATGTGGACACGTTCTGTGACAGGAGAACTTCTCATGATTAAGGGATTATTTCAGTTTCTAGGGTCTAGAAATAGGATTGCAAATTTGCTTTAGTCCCAGTCAAATAGCTGGATGGAGTCCTCCACAATATACCTTCAGGGTAATGGGATACTTCTTATTTTCTTCACTATTGGAAAAAGGAAGTGGAAGAATGGCCCAGCTTACAGGTTCCTTTCTTTTTGTCCTGGCTGTTGGTTATCAGCTGTCTTTCATGTGAGAAAGAACAGACATTTTGCAGATGAGCAAGGAAGGCATATATTCCCAGATAAGAGGACTTTGGCAAAACTAGGGAAGAACTAGTATTTTTTCCTGGTCTAATTAAATAGAAATCTCACAGGCCACTTTCGCTCCCTAATTTTGATTCTATAACATTTAAGTAGGATTGTGATTAGGTGAAAGAACTTTATTCTGTCTCTAAATGGTACTGTAAGTATTTAGACAACTAAATACAAAATGAACTTACTTGGAGTAGTCTGAAAAGATATTTCCCTGGTTCTACTTCAGGAAACTATACCATATTCGCTAGAAATTTTAGCTTCTTTGATTGTGTTTTCCTGTCATGTTTTCAGAATAAGACCACCCAAAACGCTACAAATAAACATATCTTGCCATTCTTTTAATGTGATTTTCCTGAATACCTTTGGAGAAGCCAGATCAAAGAACAAATGTGTCTCGACAGTGGCATCTAGTGGCGCCATATGTGTGATGTCCTTGAGAGAACCGCAGCCGCTGAGCTGGGTGGGACAACCAGCCAGCCACCTTCTTCTACATCCTGATTAATGTTTGATCCACAGATTTGTACTTCTCTGAGAGGCCTCCCTGCAGGCGATTTATAGACTTCTTCCATCCAGAACAGACGAGAGAGTATTTCTAGCAGTTTGCACAGGAGATGATATTTTGCGGGAAGAGGTCCACGCTTTTAGTTCAGTTGCTGAGAAAGACTTGCCTTTTGCACGCCTGAAAATATTTCCTGTGTAATGAAACCATAAAGGGAGACTGGTATCTTCTGACAAAGTAGTGTTCCTTAAGCTAGTCTGAAACAGCGAGTCAAACAGTGAGCATAAGGACTATGAATTTGAGTTTTGTGGGGAAATGGAGAAGAATATCTCAGTTAGTAGAGCTAATAGGAACTATTATGGACGGAGCCCTTAGCAACCTCGTCTAGTGGAAGATGTCCCTGCCCATGGCAGGGGGTTGAAACAAGATGATGTTTAAGGTCCCTTTCAACCCATACCTATGACTCACACTCAAATTCTATGACTCTATATATTTGTTTTAAAAATTTCAGAAAATGGAGACCCTACTCACTTCTTTTATCACTTCACTTGCATCTTCATTTGTAATTTCATCACACACTAAACTAAAACTGAATCTCAAATTTTAGCTACTGAAATATTTACCATTTCTTATTCAGCCTTTTATTCATAGGTTTCATTGTACTTTAGGTAGCCCTATTAGCCACCTCCCTCCATTTCCCTTCAGTACCTGAAGGGAGCCAACGGGAAAGAATGAGAGAGATTATTTGCAAGAGCATGTAGTGACAGGACAAGAGAATGGCTTCAGACTGAAAGAGGGTATGTTTAGATTAGACAATAGGAAGAAATTATTTACTGTGAGGATGTGAGGCACTGGAATAGGTTGCCCAGAGAAGCTGTGGATGCCTCATCCCTGGAAGTGTTTAAGGCCAGGTTGGATGAAGCTCTGAGCAAAGCTGTCTAGTGAAAGATGTCCCTGCCCATGGCAGGAGATTGGAACTAAATTATATTTAAGGTCCTTTCCAACCCAGGCCATTGTATGATTCTATTTTGTTGGGGAGTCAGTGATCAGAAACAGCCTCCTACAAGGGACAATTTAAAGCAAAATAGTTAAGTTCCTGTTTTCTACAGTTCCAGTGGAGAAGCTTATTGTTACTGTGCATGGAGACAGACTATGGTGGAAGCCAGGAAGGATGAATATTCTCCCCACTGCCTAAAGCAATATTCAGTGAGCCACTGGCAATGCTGAGACTAGATAAGAGATCTGCCTTGAGTCCTGAGCCTGCACTCAACAAGCTCGGCTTGCAAAGAAAACTGCAGTACTATAGTTTTTGTTGCAGAATTGCTCTGCTAAGCCTGCAAGCTGCTAACCAAACAATACTGCGGTGTCATCTGAGTGTCAGAAGAGTTTTTCAACTGTAGATGGCACTGCATGGTAAGCGCAAAGGTGTGCCTAGTAGCTGTGGAGATTTTATTTCCTTGAGGTTTTTTATCTTCCAAACACTCTGCCATCAAGAGGTTTTTAACACATGAGAAGACCTAGAAAGAAGTAAGGTAAGGCCAGAGGAGAATTATCTGGAGGTGATGTAAAGGGAATGCCATGCTATCTTTGCCAACATACTATTTAATGCAGGGCTATCCCATTTTGGGAACCAATACCTCCCACAACAGCGGTAAGTCACTGCAGATCAATGTGCAGGAGTGGTGACTGCAGGTGCTCCTGGCATTCCTGGTCATGCAGCTGGAATAAGATAACCCAGCCTCCAGGCATGACTTCAGGTGGGCCGTGAACTCCTGCAGAGGTCACACTGGTACACTCAGAGATAGGGTGCATCCCGCTGTGCCCAGTGCTGTGCAGTGCATCCTGGCCATGGCACTTTGTGTGGCACACTGTGTGGCAGTAGGTGGGCACCCTCTGCCACCCTGACTGAGCACAGTGGGACCATACTGGCAGCAGCAACCCCAAAGCCACTATATCTAGCGCTCAGGGCCAGAGGGGGTATCAGATGACTTGTTCAGGGATAGCACCAGTATGGCCCAAATAGCTGCATCTGGGCACGAAATGGCCAGAAAAATATCAGCTGTACTGTAAACAGGACATTTACCTAGTCTGGATCCCTTTCCCCACCCACAATGTGGGGGGAACCCAGTTCTAGTTCCATCTCCATCTGAAGAACCATTCCGACGTCTTGAGGGATGGGGAAAGGGAACTCCAGCGACAGGGTTTTTCAGGCCCTGAGCCTGGAGGGGAGGGGTGCCCTCCCCTCCCCCCACGCACGTGGTCCCATGGCAGGCACAGAGACAGCACAGCTGCGTGGAGAGGAGGCAAGAGAGAGTTTATTGCTGGGGATGTTACATTTATAGGGTTAGGAGGAATCACAAAGTAACCAATTAGAAGTCTCAAGGGGCTTACAGGAACACCCAATCACAGGAAGGGGTTAACAAGGTCCAATGAAACACCTCAGGACACCTTTCCCAGGACATTCCTGCATGGGAGATAACAGTTGTCGTGGGGGGTGTTGGGAAGAAGAAACATGTTTAAACAAGTTTCTCATCAGATTTAGTGCTACAACCTAGTCTTTAAAAAAGTTTTGAAAAATAACAATCTCTTTTTCCCAATCATTGGAACAGGGCAGTTCCTCTCTGTTGCCACCAGTTCAGAAGCTATAAACAGATCCTCCATTTCTCCTAACCACCATGAACTTGCCTCTCCCCTGTCTGTGAGACTGCCTCATGACCAGCAGTGTTATTTGCTGTGGTTAAGGAGTCCAAGATTTGCACTGGAAAGTCCTTATGAAGCCCAAGAGAATGTCTTTGATTCTCACACATTTCCATCTATCCTCTTGTCTCCATAGGAGGCTGATGCTCTGAAATAGTCTGCAGCTTTGCTCCTTCTATTTAGGAAGATCAGGGTGAA